TAACCCCCCCCCCCCCCCCCCCCCCCATTCAATTTTCACGTCTTAGTTCTGTTATCTTAAAGTTAAGCGGCAGGGAGCACCCTAACAGTGTAATCGGGGTGTGCGGAGTGTTCGCTGCGTGGCGGCCGATTTCCCCGCCTGTGGACGGAGATGCAAAGGTGAGGTGACGAGCGTGGGGGCCATTACGGTGCGGGCGGCGGGGGGCTAATGAAGGTCAGGCAGGAATGTGCCAGCTTACCAGCTGGCTAATGGGCAGCCCGTGGTGGACAGATGCACAGCTGCCGGTGTTCACGCTCCCTGGCCGCCGGGGATGGGCACCGTGCTGGGGGGGGGGGGCCCAGCACTTCCGTGAGAAGCAAAAAGGTTTTATTCCTCACACTGTAAAGATGAAAAAAATAATCTCTGCGTAACCCCCCCCCCGAAAATCTCCCCTTTGAGATGCTCTGACGAGACCGACCAGCAAGATCAGGCGTAGTGGAGCGGCCCGTCACGGGGGTTTTTAATCTACAGCAGACGGCTCTGGGGACCTGGCCGTCCTCCGCCTCGCTGCCGTCTGGCTGCCTCTGTCCATGGCGGCATCCCGAGTCTCTGCGGAGGCTCCTTTCTCTATGATGGCTTCCTGGGCATCTCTGCTAAATGTCAGAGCCGCGGGTCAACAAAAAGTAACACATGCGGACACAGAAAGCTGAAGCCGCGCGCCAGCGTGTCAGGGGCCAGCCGTCGCTCCGGGACTCTGCCGGCTGTGCTCGGCGGGACGGAAGCGTCCTGAAATGTGGCAGCCAGTGTCACTGTCCCCTTTTAAAGTGAAACAAAACACTGAAACGCAAAGGTTATAAAAAAAAAAAAGTGTCATCGACGTAAAAAGGCATCAGATTTAAAGAAAATGTCCATCGGTTCATTGGTGGCAGTGACATGTGGGTGGCTTTTCCGCGCCGCTGTTGAAATAGTTGTGTCTCTTGCTGCAGCACCAAGGAGGACCAGTTCAGCGTGTCCGTGCAGCCAGCGGTGGGAGAGCTCTTCATGCCCGTCACCATGACAGAGCAGGACTTCCACAAGGAGCAAGGTGAGACCCAGCCTGGACTCCGGCCATTCTATAACAGATGGAGGCGCTCTCCGGTCTCAGAATGGCTGGCACGTTGCTGTGAAGCCAACTGGTTCCAGAGTGTGCAGTAGTGTTGGGTCACTGTCCAGCATACAGTATGAACGCGCGCTTCAGTAACACCTTGGATTGTTGTCAGGTTTTTGCTTTTCTTTACTTTTTTGCCAGGTTTATCTGGCTCCTGTGGCAAATGCCCGTTCACCATTGTGAAATATCTGCCTTTGAGGGCATCTGAAAGCTTGTCGCCCATATCCAACTTATTTTGAAGAGCACATTCATTTAGTTGTGCTGTCTAAGGACGTCTGTTCTTCTCAATGTCAAAATTCTTTAAGATATGAAGCCAAAGTTAGTTACCTGCCCTGTAAAGCATTTTTAAGCCGAGCTTATTAATGAGCTGTTTTTAACTATGATAGGTGCACAGAAAATGAGTTCCGGCATGGCTCAGTCTTTGACAGTCAAATGCACAGTTTTTTTTCTTTTAGTGTATTACAATCCTCAGGTTATCCCACACTCTTCCCTTTTTCATTTATTTGTGCGAACTTCTTATCCTTTTTTCCAAATAATCTTTGATACAGCTCTGAATTGGGCAATTTAAATCCATTCAGAGCATCTCACAGTTCCCCGTCTTTCTCAGCGCTCCTAAACAAATGAACATTTTCCTCCTCGGCTCACAGAGTTCATTGCATCACATAGTAAATTTACCCCGTAACGGTGTCCCTCCTGGCCGGATCTTTCTCCGGACTGTAATAGCCCCGCGTCTGTTCTGCCAAACAGCTGTTGTAGGCCTCTCAAGCAATTCCCCCAACTTCAGGTCTCCATTTGGTCTTGGGCTTTCAGCCTCTAAGTTGAGGTGATGGGGTCTGTGAATGCACAAGCCCATCAAATTAGCTCCCCACACACACAGCCACCCACACACCTGCTCCTCATGTTTTCCTGGGGGCTGGGTGTTTTGATCAGACTCTCCCTGCTTCGCTGTGACGGCCCCCAGCCCCCTTCTCGCCCTTGCGGAGTCACGGCTGCGATCCGGGCCCCTCGTTCCTCCTCGGACCCGGTTGCCTGGGCCTCTCTTTCTTCTGCCACTTTCCCTCTACGGTTGTTGATTATTTGTCTGAATAAAAGTGGCAGCTGTGTGTTATGTTTAATAGAGCAGAAATGCTACTCAGAATAAAGCTATTTGAAAATTTGTTTATATGAAATATTTGTAAATATAGGCCGGTCTCTTGGCACTGCGGAATCGCCTCCCCCTGTCGTCCCGAATTCTCGTTTTGACGTTGGACCCACGGCGGGCGAACGCACCGCCTGGTCTCCCGTAGCCCCCACCCCCTGCCAGCCCGTCGGCCCCTTGCATTTCCAATGACGCCCGTTCCCCCCGAAATGAGGGCGGCTGGAGTGATGTCTTATCTCCGAGGTGGACCAGAGCGAGTCCTATCAGAATTCCCCCCCCCCTCCCGCAACTCCCCAAGGGGGGCCAGCCACGGCAGAGAAGCTCAGGGTTTATTAGACTAGATGGTGGAAGGTGGTCCGCTTGACTGCCTGTGCAGACCTGTGTTCACCAGCACCAATCTCCTGGGAAACGCCGGCCAAGACTGAGCCCGGGCTGCATGCGTATTGCCAAGCCAGTCCTGTCTGGATGCCCGACACGAGCCCCATGTCACATGGAACCCAACCAGCAGCCCGGATTTTCACAGCCTTCCCTTAAACGCATCACTTATAAATACAAAAAAAGGCCACTAGACTCTGATCCACAGTTGGCCCTTTACATGTTTAAAATTCATTCTCTGTCTTGCCTTTTGCCAATATTAAAGTTGTCCGTCTCCCCGTTTTATCACCAGCCATAGCTATTTTTGAGGGGCTGCTTATTCTTTAAGGCAGGCCAGTAGCTCCAAATCCTCCCCTGAATAGAAAAGCGTTTACCTTTTTTGGCCTTTTAACTACCTTAAGCAATCACATTTGATGTTAGTTAATTACAACGCTTTGGGCCCCCCCCCCCCCGCACCGCCAGCCACTTCTTTTCCAGCTCAGCAATCGAGACAATGCATTTGCTTACCGTGCCGCTCGCCTAAGTGTTCTCCTGCATGTAAATTAATCTTGATTCAGTTTACACTGTCATGCTGAGTGGTACAAATTGCCTATAGCGATAAAACAGCACAAGTATTTTTTTTTTTTAAAAAAAAAAAAGGTAGATTGAACGTGTGCCTCAATTGATAGGATGTTACTTTGCTTTATGCCAATACATTAGGCGCAGATAATGAATCTTCTGTTCTGAAAAGCATGGTATAGTTGATTTTTAATTTTACTTCAATAGAGCGGTACCTTGTCTTTTAAAGCCCAAGTTAGACAAACCAGTAATGACAAGAGCGTTAAGGTTAAATATTAAGCAATGCATTCGCCTGCCTGAGTGCCATCCATCTTTCCATTTGCGGGAGCCCGACAAAAGTGCCGGTTTTGTGCAACATTTCCTTTAATTGCGCCGCCGGTGGAAAAACAGGCTTTTAACATAAACATAGTTACATTCATTATTCAGCGTTTGCTCTTCAATGGAGCTTAATGGATAAGGTTTAAGCTCTAAGTGAGGTGCACAAATCTTTTGCCGAAGCCGTGCCGGCCCCCGGCACTGCCTAAAAGCCGCCCGCTCCCGAGTCAAAGTGGTGGCCCGCTGCCGCCCCCCCCCCCCCCCCCCCCCCCACCCCCCGGCCGCCCATTTCTTCTGTTTGGGGGAATTAACAGGCTTCTTAAGCCTCCCATCATGCCAATCCACAGTACTGTTTTCAGTTTTATTTTCACACGTCTGCCCCCCTAGCTTGTAGAGGCACATTTCCTGCTCCCCCAGTCACTTTGATCACATTATAAAGAAACCAAAAATAAAAAGTACAAATCAGATGAAGTAACACTGTGATATTTTTAATGCCATGCATTTTAAGTTAACTTTTTGAGTAGCCAGCCTAGAAACAAATCATGTGCATAATTAATGTTCATTTTTCTTTGTTCTCAGCTAATTATTTTTCTTTTTTCTTGCCCTGATCTCTGATGATCAGATGAGTTGTTATGCAGAGTATGAACAGATTTTACGGTTTTGAGGTATTTTTTTGTTCTGACCTAAAATGATAATGGACACAATTTCAATGCAGTTTGTTTCTTCTGAGTCTCTCATTTTCATGTTCTGGCTTAGTTTGAATGTTATTGTTGCATACAAAGATTTTTGTACTACTTTGATGAAAAATAATGTAAAATTACAGAAGGCTTTAACTGGATGCCTATTGGTTAAAGTCATCTGATTTTTTTTTTATTTGTAGTGTCTTGTATATATGGATTACAGCAGTCTTGCAAAAAGCTTTATGATTATATTTTAAAAACTTAATACTGTTCTATGTCACTATAAAAATTTAAAATTAAATATTGGAACTTCTGTATCTGATTAGTCAGGTGGTATGGCTTTAAATAAGATGGGCTGAATGTGGTAATGTGTTTTTAACTCGCTTTAGGAATTATATCATCTTTTATAATGAATTGTTTTATAGAGGTCTTGTTTATTTTAGCTCTATGTTTGTGGCTCTATAATACCCCAAAAAAGTTTTATAGGGAACAGCAAGCATACAAAAACCCCTTGAATTATGCAGTTATGCTCAGTTTTATTACTGAAAATGTTCCTCTGAGAACTGAAATGTTACCTTTTCTTATCACACTCCATTGGGAAATAATTCAAATCTATCACTATACTTAAATTTCTGAAAATGAATCAGAGAAGGTTATGAAGGTCTGTGTTCATCACTGATTGCTGAACAATTCTCCTGCGAGCAGGGAAATTGACTGGGATGAACGAGAGTTCGACAACCGTCACCGTGGCCTCTGAGAGCACATCTGCGCAGATCATCACCAGGAAGGTGGTGTGTGTGGCCAACATGGGGGTGGTGCCCTCCAGCCAGACCAACGTCCACAGGTAGACCTCTCTCGAAGCATGTTAATCTATTTCAGTAAGTAGGATTCCTAGAAAAACTTACATGCTAATCGCTATGCTAAGAGTTCACTTAATGAACAGTGTCTGGTTTTCTGTTGAGCTCTGTGGAGCACAAATGAGATGTGCTTGTGTCTTTCTAGTTTTCTCTTATTGGATCCCCACCCGGTGTGATTCCATTACTGCTAATGACGATATTTTAAACCACTGCCAGTCATATATTGTTCATTGGTTGATTTTGAGATTCTCCAAAGCATCTGTAACAGGCTATTTTTCTCACTGGAATGAATTTTGTTCCCTTAAGTGTGCACCTTGCAGATGGTGTGCCGAGTACAGTGTCGTCTGCCCTTATGGACTCTGCCGATTTGGTCTCGTTCACCTGTGTGAGACTGTAGCTATTGGGTTACCCTACCCGATGATGGATACCCATGCTTCCTGCCAAAATAGTGAGAATAATGTAACATGAAAAACCTCCATCTTCTCCATTGCTTTGATGGATGACTCGCCGACATTTTTAGCTTAAAAAAACTGTCCAATAGAACATTCCGGAATTGCCTCCCCAGTTACTCGAAGATATGCTGGGCAAATGTTTGAAGACGCTTGTGCATGTAATTAGTGTACACAGTATGTGCTAATTAGTTTCCTCCTCTGCCATGCATATATGAACATCTGATGGATAATTACACCTCATTCTCTCTCACTCTTGCTCACACTCGGCCTCTTTTTTTATACCCCAATTGCTCCATAACCTAAATGATTGCTCATTAATAATAATTATACTAAAAAGGTTGATAGTAAAAAGAGGTTTTTTTTTCGTGTTTGGAACATTACTACTGAATCCTTTCTGAACGTGCAGGCCTGTTGAAAGTAGTGTTTCATAAGTATGTCAACAGGAGTGAATTATAAGAAAGTCTAACGCTAACTGCAAACACAATGGAAAAGCAATCCGCCACACGTGCAGAAAAACGGAACCTCAGCAAATAGTTGGGCGACAGTCGTGCTGTAATTTGATTATACGATTGCATATGGAATAACCTTGGGAGGCGCAAACCAAGGACGCGTAGAGAATATGTAGAAATCGATGATGGGGAATGAGAAGGTGCTCTTTGCAAAGCCTCGTATTTCATTTTTAATAACCAGCAGTACAAATTGCTTCACGCCATCCATCTCTTCCCTGGATCCGATATGGAGAAAACATGCTGGTGGTTCAGGGGTGAAGTCGGGAGGGTCTCTGCTGGGGTCTTATGGTAGTTATGTTAGAGGAGAGGGCCTGTATGGTCTGAGTACTGAGAACTCTGTATTTGCCATTTGCACAAGCACAGGTACTTTGGAGTGCTTAGCCGGGGGGTTAAGGGCTTTGCTCAAGGGCCCACAGATGTGGTTATTCTGTGGAGGCCGGGACTCAAACCGCCGACCTTCTGATCATAGGTACAGAGGCTCAGCTCACTGAGGCACTTCAATGTTGAAGGGTGCTAGGTCACGTTACTCGGTGTGTACTAGCTCACCGTGCCTGCCGTGTTGGGTTGTATCAGCCTGTGTCTGTCAGTCTGTCTCAAAACGGCAAGATTTTTTTATGTGCTTGTACTCATACTTGTGCAAATGGCGAATTGAAGCATCATTTTCATTTCAATTTGAAAAACTGAGCCAGAAAAGTCTTCAGTGTGTTTATGTGGATGTCTGTCAAAGTCCCAAACTGAAAACACACCAAAACCAACTTTCAGTTAAAGGAACAATCAACGGAAATGAATAGGCTTATAGGGATTTAATATTTAGGAATTTCTGTAGCAGGTTTTTTATATTTATTATCCCAATGACAGTGAGGAAAAACATGATGTAGCTAATTCAGAAGATAATAGTGATCATTGTGCGCAGTCTAATAGGCTTACGAGATACTTTGTGGTTAAGAAGGTGAAATATGCAAAATGAGAGATAAGAAAATGACATTTACTACATAACAGTATGGCTTCCACAGAAACGACGCAGGTCTTCCGTTGTACTTTGGGCTGATGTGGCTGGATAGAGGGGGACAGACAATGTTAGGGCACCAGTGCAGCACCGTGCCCATGGAGAGGTGATTGATCCAGTCAGCTGTGGACCCCGAGTGCTGATTGCACAGGTCGCTCTCTATTACCGGCTAAATGAAGGACCTCCATCAATTTGCATCCCTCTGAAGAGGAGCTACGTAAAGAAGGTGCAGCCCGGCCAGGTGCAGGGGAATCCCGGGGGAGCGGCTCTGATGCGCTGCTGCGATGAGCTGCTTCGTGGGGCCTTCACTTCACTGTCAGACACTGCAGTTAGCTCTGCATCATAACTCTGGCTGGCGTTGGACCCTATTTGTATTTTAATCTGTTACCAAATTTTCTGCAGCTCAATGAATATAATGATTTGCTGAAAGTTCGATACTTTGGAATTTTCATTGAACTCAAATGCAACGCTGGTCGAATTTGCATTACATTCATTTTTAGTTGCTTTTCTCAGCTATTCCATGTATTGCACTGCAGAGGTAGGAATCATCCCCAGAGCTGCTACTGCACTTCATAGCTTGCTGGCTATGAACATGTGGCCTTAACCACTCTCTTAAAAGCTGGAATGATTCTGAAATACAAATGGGGTGATCTTGACTCTCAGCAGTGCCTGCAGCTGGTGGTGGCCAGGGGCTGTTTGTTTAATGAAGGCTGGTTGTGGGGAATGAGGCTGGGGCAGCGACACTGGCGGGAGCTGTCCCTGTGTGGGGGCAGTGAGGCTCTTGGATGTGGGAGATTGTGGTGTCATTGTATTATTACACGTGTTCTGTCACATGACCAAGAGTGGAAAAGGAGGAAAATGTCTATTTAAAAAATGGTTAAAATGTAGCTATGCTAAATGAATGACTTTAAGCCTAAAGGGACTTCAAAAGGGCCAAAGGAACCCAGAAAATTATTTTGGTGTTAGTGTTCAGCCCAACTCTGCCACCACCACATACATTAAAGTCAGCCATGTGAATGTCTAAGGCCAGCAATTCTCTGCTTTGCCACTAGGAGACAGCACTGCTTTTTCTAAGTGTTAATGTAGAAAATAGGGTTAGAAAAGCCATAAATTGATTTACGAAATGGAAGTCAGTAATAAATCGGTGTTTATTTAAAAAAAAAAAAAAAAAACAGCACCGATTTATTACTGACTTCCATTTCGCAAATCAACTTTTCAAAACACTTTTTTAAAAAAAAAAGGTTTGTGTTTGTCTAGGAGAACCTCATATAGATTTAGTGTAAATGGTTTCATTGACAGTTTAGGTTGTATAAGATTTCTAAAGGTTTATGTATACAAATATTTTTTGTTTAATTTATGTAGAAGCTGAGGTCATCTAAAGCTTAGTTTTATTTTTAATGAAATGTGTACCTCATAACAAGCTAACAGCGTTTGCTGCCAGCCAAGGAGGGAATATTCTGGAAACATGTTACACCCCTTTAGCAGAATCTAATTTAATCATTTAGTCCACTGCGTTTATTGTTCATATCATTAAACAATTTACCATCCTAACAACAGCACCCCCTAGCCACACTGCAAGTGTCCTGCGCTTAACGAGCGTGTTGGCCTGGCTCCGCCCCTCGAGCCCCCGTCCCCGTTCACATCCTCTGTTCGTCTGCGTTATCGCAGGTCCTGTCTGCTTCTGCCTACTTGTGTGTAGTCGGAGCTGGGTGGAGTGCATCCCAGAATCGGCGGCTTTTCCTAATCGGAACCGCCTTTAATTGAAGATTTCATGTCGAGTGTTCTCCCAACTGGGTCCATGTCAGAATCGAAAGGACAGGGCCTGAGCCGAGCATCAAGCCTCGTTGCTCTGGGTTTATCAGGCATACTGAGAATTCCGGGATGTGTAGTTGATCTGATATCGGCCTATTCATTCCCAATCAATGTTAAGATTGCCCCTTATTTGATTTGGCCAGGATGACACATTCACTAAGTAAGAAGCCCTCAAATTCCAATGATTGAGAGAAGCTCTGGGTCATGCATGGCTTATTAGAAAGGTGCAGCGCACATCAGAGAGAGATGCAACATGTACATCGTACAAAGTTTTACCAGATATGATGGTTTGGATCCCTTCCTGTTTTCCACAATATTTGTCAGTGATCTGTGCAGTGTTACCTGAAAGGATCTTTTGTTCCAGCTTTGGTATTTCTGTGTGATTTATTATCTATGTGTTAAAACTTATCTTTATATTTAAAGCAAAAAAACAGACGTCGTATATTTACAGTTTGGTGAATCATTTATAATCTGACTAAATGTGGATTTTATTCTCCATGTCCAAAGGACTCTTTGGAGAGGCTGTCTTGTAAACCAAGCTCCACCGAAGTTTGTCGACACGCGACACCAGCCTGACTGGTCCAGCTCATCATGACTTTAACATAATCCCTTTTCGGCAAGACGGAAAAGCTGTTTGCTCTCAAGGAGGGCACCTCTTAGTTTTTTTTTTTCTTTTTTTTTTGTTACGGTGAAAGGAAGCAGATGGCAGTGAAAGTGGTTTACATAAAGAGACCCTAAAGTAATTGGGAATCAGCGCAAGCTTTACGAATCGATAGCTATGCACCTCCCAAAGTCAGGCGGCCACAGTTCGTGTTTTCATGCCTCCCAATTAAATCCCCACCTAGCTGCACCCCAAAGCATCCTGAAGAATACCAATGTGCCAGTGAGAGATTGTCAAGCACAATCTCATCTTTGCCTCATTGTGGATGGCTTTAACATCTGGGGAAAGAGGGATGTGGTTGGCTAGTGTTGGCTTGGGAAAGCAGACTTTTAGAATGCTTTCCACTTTGCCCTTTGCTGCAGATTTAGAAGTTACACTTTCAAAATCTTGACAAGCATGTCACTGGAGAAAATGAGTTGCAGTGAGAATAATGAGTTTCCCCCTCATGTTATTTTGAAGACGTGAACATCACTCTATATGCATTCTGCGTAAGAATTAGCACCCGCGCGGACACAGAGTGCTAGAGAGACTAATCAGCCATTTACTCCTTTTAGTATATAAACAGGGCCAAGTTTTTGGGCCCCTCGAGGATACCTAAAGCATTGTGGGTATGTTTGCTTTTGGGCGATATGATATGATATGGTATGTGCCTGTTTTTGAGCGATCAATGATATTTGAAAGCCCCGCGTGCTTAAATCACTCAATTTGTAGCATGTTGGCTCCTGTTTACGACATTTTTATTAACTTTTTTATTATTGGATTTGCGTCATATTTTGCACCCGCGACCTGGATCACCTCTGCCGTCCAGCGGAGGGGCTCCGTCTGAAGGTCCTCCCTTCATCCCCCATGTTAAGGCAGAGCTGTACGTGGAGAGGGGCTTTCATTTTCACGCCCGGAGGAGAACGCAGGGATGCCCGGTGTGAAAAGTGCATTTGATGTGTCACTGCGGGGCTTTTTGCAGGCCTGTCAGCCGTCGGTTTATTTAAACAGCCGAGGACTGCGAAACACCGAAAGCGATGATTCATGGCGCGGCCCCCGTGTAAATGCATCGCAGATACGCCTGCTGTCCACCAAGGTCATGTTCCGTAGTGGAAAAATGGCAGCCTCGGCCTCCTGTAATTGTAGAACACATGACAGATTTATATCTCGAACCACTGCTGTTGTGTTTCTTTTTATGATTTAGAAGTCTGGTAATGGACATGTCCCAGTACACATTTGTGCTAAAAATTTAGGAACAAATTATATATATATATAAAAAAAGAAAGTAATGACAAATAATAAACCTAGTTATATTAGGTCATATTTTTGTATTTAGCTCTGTGTTCTCTATGTTGTAACAGTGCAGTTTAAGCATCAAACTATCACCGGTTATTACATCGTTAATATGGAATTGTAATTATTGCACAGTTGTTAGCGCTCTGCTTAGCATTAGCATCGTTAGTAACTGTAAGTGTCCACCGGGGGCTTCCTGTGATTTCTAATGCTCCCCACGTGTCGTCATGCTGGTTAGCTGCTGTTGTCCCGAGTATATGACGCAGAGGCTAATGCACTTTTTATTGCACCCAAGTGGTTTGTTGTACCCCAGGCTACAGGAGCAGGCATCTAAATCTGAACATCCGTGTTAGCGCGCTAGCCCTAAGGCTAAGGCCGTGAAGCGTACCGGCGGGATTCAGTACCGTTGCCTTTCAGCCACACGATAGCCCCCGTGGGAGGATGCCTCTGGACAGCCTCCAGCAATGTCCCCCTGGGTCACCTCTCATGTTTGGGGGCGGGGGGGGGGGGGGGGGGGGGGGGGGGGGGGGGGCGGTGGAGCCATACGCCTGCGTCAGATTTGCACCCTGGCCCACAGCCGGGGGGCAGGCCAGGGCCGGGACCGTGATGAGCTTTGTCATCTTTGTCATTGTGGCCATGGAGGTTCGCAGCAACATTAAAACCCGCCTTCTCCTGATCCCAGTCCAGTGGCCGCACATTACAGTGCTCATTCTGCTCATGTTTTTGCATGATCAAAACACATTTTTAATTCTATTTTTGACTATGATGCCACATATCTTAGTTTTTACTATATCCTCAGTATACTGTGCACTCTTTTTAGCAGGTCATATTAGGCTTCTTTAATTTCCATGGTTTCTACCAGAAACACGAAAGAGAACAGTGATAAGCGTCTGTACTTGTGGGGGGGGGGGTAAAGTGGCAATTTGCTATTTATGTGCCAATGTATGTCTGTAGATATTACCTGATGGGCCAAATGGTGTAGCTCCCGGCGCAGAGGTCAGGTTAATGACCTGTCCCGTGTTACATAAATGGATCTGTTGCTGCCTTGGTGTGATTAATGTGCTTTTAATAAATCAGCTGATATAAGCCATTTATAAAGCGTTTGTCCGTACATTTCTTTTTAGATGTCTCCATTGAGATGTTCCTCGACCCTTCTGGGCAAGGGGGCGGGGATGTTTTTTGTCTTTTAATTTATGTGTTACTGCTAGATGAAAGCATTGTGTCTGTTGTTTGTAGGATATTGTTCTGGAGTTAGATGCCAGTTAGATGGTGTATGATCATTGTGAATACAGAGCAAAATGACGCTTCTGTGTAATGTGAAACTTAGACTTTGGGGGGGGGGGAATAACGGCTGTCTAAGCTCTGTGGTGGGATTTGCTTACTTTATTTAAAGACCAGATCTAATATAGTAATTTTATTAATAAGGCAGCCTGCACCTCCCCCTGGTGTAATTGTTTCAGTGCTGCAGGTATTCCTTGCCCCCCAAGCAGGGCCCCCACTCACCGCACCATCGAGTAACACTATCAAGCATGTTGATGTAATTAAAAGAGGGATGAGGAGAAAAAGGAATTACTCCTCATTTCAAGAGAAGCTGCTTCCTGCTTAAGTGGCTAATATTTTAATTAAGTCTGGAGATAAGTTTTTGGAGTATGTGGTGATAAAGTCCTTCTTTTCTGTTGATGGTAATTAAGCGGGTCCCCCGGGGCCCGGTGGCGGGATGCGTGCTAATTGTTCGACATGAGACACTGTCCAGTTGGTTGGCTGCTGAATGGGCCCCCAGCGCTGAGGGGCCCCGGTGGCCATTGTGGGCCTTTGTCAACGCTAACCAGGGGCCTATTGTGGCCAAAGATGTCGCGCAAATTGAGGCAGATGGCCCCAATTCAGACACGTGGCATTCAGCAGGCCCGGGAGTGTGCAGGGGGGGCGAGAGCGTGCAAGCGGGGGTGGGGCTGTCCCGTAAAGAGAGGGTCGCCCCAGGTCGGGGACCCGCTTGGCACTTGTTAGCATCCTCAATGGGCCCCATGTGTGCCCGTTCGCCTCTGCTGTGGTGTTGCCAAGTAACCGGACAGGGAGCGTTATGCCTGCTCCCTCAGGAGGGGTGTACCGACCCCCCCCCACCGCCCCCATGCACCACCCCCTCCCGACTTGGCCCCAGTTCACCTCGCTCTGGGGCCAGCGTGAATGGGAACGATTGACAGGAGGCTGCATCCAACCCCAAATGGCTTTTCAGTCAGCTGTGATAATGGACTGGCTGTTTTTGTCTCTCTCACTTATTCTGGGTAATTAAGGGATTTCCAGTGTTTAGGAATTTGCCTGTTTTGGAGATATTGCATGTGAGGTATGGAAACAGGCGATAAACTATTGTCTCCGTCGGACTAGATCCATTTCCTTAAATCAAAGAGTAATGTGGTTTGTCACTTTTAATCGGGACTGGTATGGGGCAGTGTTACCCACATTAAGTCTTTCACGTTCATTAGCTTTGTCTGCGGGCTTGAATGAAAACGGTAATTCCCAGTCAAAGGACAAAGGCTATGTGTTTGGCTGCAGTTTAACTGGTCTTATGTGTAATTAATCCCTGCTAATCCAAAAGGTTTAATTTGTTGTTAAGAGTCTTAGTCTTATTGTACACATACATGGTACATAACCTTAATCCCGCTCTTCTGTTCTGTGCTTGTTTTCTATAAGGCAGCAGTAGGTGCATAGATGTAAGAACATTTTGTTTGAATTGACTGAATCTCACAACCGGTGTTAAAACCTGAAAATCCCAGTCGAATATCTGTTGAAAAACATTATAAATGTATCTTCTGTAATATGATGATAGTCGAAAATGGATTTCAGGACAATTATAGCTTTGGCGCCTTAAAAACACTGAGATGGGTAACTGACTGCTTCTTGCTGTTCATTGGCTATTCTTCGCTCCCTTGCTGGACCCAGCTGCGACAAACTAATATAATTCTTCCTAATTTCCATAGTGATTACAAAACTGTAAAAATTCATCATGAGTTTGCATTGCTTAATATTCTTCAGATTCTGAAATCCAGAATATTTAGAACAAACAAAGTTCAGAATGTGGAAAAATCCAATTATCCAGCGATGGAAATTCCCAGCGCAGGGTAATAATATGAACAGGCAGCCTTTGTGTGGCCGCCTTGTGCGATAGGTCCCTGTTGTTGCAGTGTGTCATCTGCCTTCCTGACGCCCCGGGATGTAGCTGCTGGCCGATGTCACTGTGCCGCACTCTCTGTCTGGCATCTGCACGCTGTCCAGTCACATCCAGAACAAAAGGGGGGGGGGGGCACTCTCCTTTAAACAAAGTAACAGCAGCAAACGTGTGTGTCTATGCAGTTAGGCAGGGGATGCAAGAAACTAAACAAATAACCAAAGACATGTTAGAAATATTAAAAAGAAAAAATAGCCAGTAGTCAGTCAGCCTGGGTTTGTGTAAGATGTTAGCAAACAGTCCAGTTCGTTTCCGTGCTGCTGGTTCTTCCATTGATTCCTCCTGGATGTTTTTTCCTCCTGGAATGTGGTACCTCCAGGAGTCCATCCAGCCTTAGGGTGTCCTGACCAGTCATGTCCCCCCCCCCCACAGGTTCGCCGCCAAGACCGCCAGCAGCGAGGCCCTGGTCCTGGCCACCGTCGAGCTGAAGGAGGCATCGGCTGCCAGGCTGCTGGTGAACACCGAGGAGACGGTGATTGGCTCCATGCTGCTGCGGGATCTGAAGACCGCTCTGTCTCAGGGGTAGAGATCTCGCAGCTGGACCTCCAAGCCCGGCATGCTGCAAACATTTACCGCATTAAAGCCGCCATCTGGTGCTGCCCTCCGAGGAAAGAGAGAGCCGCCGGGAGGGGGGGCGGAGCGGGAGAGGAGGGGGGACATGTCAAAACGGTGCTGGAGCCCCTCTAAACACTGTCTAAGTGCTGCCAAACCAGCGCCACTCCTACCACACACACACACACGCACACACACACCTCTTAAGTAAGGCCAAGTTTGTTGCAAGTTTTTCACTTTTATTCCCATAAATTTGCTTCTCCTGTTTCCATGTGCACACAAGCACAGGTTCACCAATACACAATAAAGCCCACAGTTGTGGTGCAGAAATCTGACTGACGGGAAGCTCAATTTTTTTTCTTTCTCAATTATTTTACATTGTATAGAGAATTTTTTGAGGAAATTTGCCTTAGAAGTCCTCAATGCCAAAGGTTTGTGACGATGCACCGTGGCCCCTAAGGGCCCCTAAGTTTGCCCCTCTGTGTGCCACCTCTGGATGAACAGACATGGCAGTTTTCACTGACAATATTCAAGTGCCTCTCTGTGCAAATTAAGTGAAGGTATATTATAATGACCAAAAAAAAAACAGTATTTGTTGATTGTGTTCCTTATGATCCAAAATAAAGAGCGTTAGTGATGAGCTCATTGTTTCTGGTCATTTTGGGAATGTGAGATCAATGAAAGTGTATCTAGGACCCTGTTGGTGGGATGGGGGCGGCCATCAAGCAGCTCCGCAGCTCAGAAACCACCAGCAGAGGAGACGTGGATTATGGGATGGGCTAGTGGGTGACAGCACTTGAGCCCCGGAGCCACAGGCTGTGAAAAGGCCTCTTCTGTCTCGTCTTTTTTGGATTCTGGAATTTGACTGCTGATGATATTGTGAAGTTCTTTAAAAGCCCTGACTGAAAGTGCCCCCCCCCCCCCCACCCCCGCTGATCTGTGTGTGATTTACCCTGTGTGCCGCTTACCCACGCGGCCCTCCTGCACCCTCCCATCGCCCGCTTGCAGCAGCCATCGCCGGATCTTCATCTTAGCGCGGTGTTTATTCAGACACAGGCAGGATCGCCAGTGAAGATGTTGCCATGCAGCCATTCATCACTGCGGCAACGCCTTTCGCCTCCGGACCGGCTCACCGCGCCGCTCACCGCGCCGCTCTCCGCGCTTGCAGCCCATGTTTTATAACAGAATAACACATCAGCCTCCACACGCACAGCCATTAATTTCCCCCCCAAGCCGCCTCTCCCGGCGTGCGGCCCGCGGCTCTCCTCCTCCCTCCCTGGAAATGGAGGGAATTGTTTGCCGGGACGGTTCAGATCATCTGCCCTGGGGGGGGGGTGTCATGATGGGGCGCTTAAGTAGGCCTGTCGTGCTGAGGTGTTAGCCGGACTTACTGATGTCACACTGGGGCCAGTGTCTCAAGTCCTCAAGCTTCTAAGGCCTGCGCCAGTGTGGCCAAAATTTTGCACTTGATATGGACCAACGTCCTCTGGCTACTGCCTGTATCGCTCTTTGACAGAAGACTCGTCGTCTTCCTCCGATGTAGCAGTGTGGCATTCTCTCAAATGCAAATGCTAAATTTTTGTCCATAATGTAGGTTACTGGAATGTTCTGTATTTTCGCGTCTCGGTGGGTGATTCCATTTCTGGTCACGTACCATGGCAACGGCATTCCTGCCACCTCCTGCAGCCTGGCTGGTGACACGTCTGTCTCTCGCACAGACCACAGCTCTGGAGGGGCTACGGCGATCGGCTGCTGCCATGCGGCCGGTGACCATGGCTGGTGGGACTCTCCCCCGGGCACCTTCTCGCTTGGAGCTGCTGAGATTGCACTCTGCTCTCTTCCAACCCGCAAGCTGCGGTCCCCTTTGTTGCCACACGACAGGCGGATCGTCGCACTCATCTTTCTCGGGGCTTATTAGCGAACGACAGCAAGCCTGATGGCGTTTTTGTTGTCCCCCCCCCCCCCCAAGCCCTCTTTCCCCTGTCCCCAACCCGTCTCTTGCCATCACATGCGTGTAACCTCTCCTGCAGCTCATTGGCTAATTAAGATTCCAGGCAGATTTCCGCGGTGATGGCCGCTGCATCTGGGCCCTGGGGGTACGGTAGCCCGCAGCTGGCAAGGTTGATCCACACCCCCGGTGCCTGTGGCTGGTCATAAATAAAGCCTCTTATATAGTTGTTATGAACACCTGTTAGATCATCTGTCAGCAGGGCCCTGTTCACATTCATCACTGGTACTCCCGCTACCCATTCTACCTGCATCCATTCCTCGGCGGGTCGTGGCAGCCTCAGTCGGCGAGCCGGCTATTACCGCACCATAATGGTCTGCTTCCTCTCGCTGGTAGAAAGTGCTGGAAAACGTGCAGGGAAAAAAAAAAAAAAGATTTCACGACTTGTAAAATTTTCATAAATAAAAGAGCAGTTGAGTGCAGTAAAAGTTTATTTTTGTCATCATTAGTTAGACGGGGGTGACTATAAATCAGAATGGGGGAAGTGTTGGGCGGGGCTGCCAGTAGACTTGGGGTTGGTGGCGGGGGGGGGGGCGGCGGCGGTGGGGAAACGGTCGACTTCTTCGTAGGGGTCTAATGGGAGAGCTTGATGGGAAGACGCTGCCTTGGGGCCGCTCGCTCATTCCGCTTTTATTGCCCTTCGGACGAAGGGAGGTGCCCAGGGAGGAGGTGAGGGAGCGGCGATGCTTTATGGGCACTCCAGTCGGAGCCGGTTGGCGTCGCCGGGCCGGAGAGATGTCTTTATCTGCCATGATGACACGCACGCTGGTGGCGTGCAGCCCTGATTTATGTGGCACTCGGCGCTGCCGGCGTGTTGTTATGAGGGGGCGCGTAGCCAGACACGGATAAACCTAATCGTTTAAAACGGGCGGCCTTTGGATGTCTGCGGGTTTGTGAAAGGGAGGGGGTGCGATTCGAACCATCGAGGCCTGGCTGCAGGCTTTAGCGTGGTAGCCATGAATGGCTCTCCAGAGCTGAGGTTGAGGTTTTGGGTTCTCTAACCAACAGCTTTTCTGTGACAGGTTTCTTTCTCTATGAGCTACTAATTATGTTTCTGAACAAACATATTCAGAATTTACCCGTATTTCCATTATCTCGTTCAGCCAGACAGACAGTTTGACTTGTGATTTGTCAATTGAAGGGTGACCCTTGGCATCATGATAATTCTATTTTCAGAGAAGCTATTGTGAAAATTCAAGCGAAACTGAGTCTGAAATGTAACCGGTTTAAAATTTGCCTTGGAAAAGAAGCTACAGAATAGACAATATACAGACACTCCTCTACTTACAAATGAGATACGTTCCAAACAGCCGTTCGTAATTTGAAATGTTCGTAAGTCGCTATTCAACATCATTTTAAGGGTATACGCAAGTACAAAGAACTAGGATGCTGGGAGTCCGCACGCTACGCTGTTGCGCGGTGGGAGTAGCGGCCAGAAGTCGCAGAAAAAAAATTGGTGTTTCGGACAGGAAATGGGAGCCTAATCGACATAATTTCGTATGTCTGAAAGTTCGTAAGTAGAGGAGCGTCTGTATATTGTATTCTAAAGTATAAATTGGATTATACCACAAGAACCGTCGCACAGATTAAGGACTGCAGGTGCATTTATGCTTCATGGGCTGACATCAGAGAGGCAAAAGGCGCAGAGCTTTGGGCAGCTGTTATCACGCCAGGTGCAGTTCCACTTTACGGGTGCGGTCACGCCGGACCATCTGAAAGTGCGAGTTTAATGCTGCCATAAAGCAGGATTTGTGAACAGTGAATAAAACAGGCTGTAACTTTACTACAGCAGCCCCAACTGCCTCCTCTGATTTGCAGTGAAAGATGGTCAGTGAGATTTATATATATATATATATATACACACACACACACACACACATAAAATATGTGTGTACAGTTACAGTTCTATTACATTTAGCAGATTATCTACAGTGACTATTTCTTACGTGCAATAAAAAGTGCAGTTGCATTGTCTTGATCTTTCCAGTGCTGTTGATTCATTGCTCTCATGCTTCTATGTAACAATCGTTTCACCAAAATCGCTCAACCCAAATTTTTCTCTCCTTGACCTACATATACAGAAGAGCCTCCTGACCAAACTGAAATGGTGATGAGACATAATTTCAGCAAAAGGTTTTCAGCATTTCAGTTCAGCCATAATGCCCACCCATGTACACTTGCATTTTGCTGATTATTTTCCACAAGCCCTCATTTGGAGTTGGTGATGTACTAGTCAAAAGACATAATGATAAGTGTTTTCTTTAAAAAGTAAATTTTTATCATTTAATGCTAAACTTTAAAAGGAAGTGGATGAGGAGGATGGTAATTCATTAAGTTCTGAGCAAATTTTTGGAACATGAATATAGCAGTAGATGCAAAGGGCCATTACTTAAATGCTTAATTTTAACTTAATTATTGCACAACATGACACTAATTTCTGTAGTGCAGATAACATAATGCTCCTGGGGGAAATGATGGTAGTGACTGTTTTTGTTGATTTTCTGCTGATCGCCATGGTAACTGCCGTGTTACCAGCCATTCTAAATATTTAGTACGTTCACAGTCAAGTTCTTCATTGCTTAGATTCCATCTTTATTAACAGTTTTTCTGTGATGGTGGAAGCAACAGCTTCAGAGTTGCTTTCCCTGAAGCAGTCTGCTTCATGTATTTTCAGTTCCTCACTTCTTACACAGTTCTCTCTGCTATGAGTCCAAACATAGTTCATCAAGAGAGGTTGAGAGCTCCTTGTGACAACACTAAAGATCCTAACATCCTATGATTGGTCAGCTAGAAATGGAAATGATGTGAATTAATCACAACAAATCGTATCATCTCATCAGCAGGTTTATGTTTGATGTGTAACAGTAAGCACCACAGAGACAAATATCTGTGTATTGTGCAATGCATGCTAGGTATTAAACATATCACAGTGAAGCCCCAAGCGACCCAACCTAAGGACGGGACGTTCTGAGGAAATGGTCACCACGACATCAGCTTGGAAGCACCTAATGATAACAAAGGACCTTAAAGATGCTCTGGGTACGTGCATCTCTTGGGAAAAGAAATAAGAAAATGACCAAAGCACAATTCCACCTTAAAATTGTGATTTCATGATAAATGGGAAAACAAACATTTGGACAAGCCTCAGCTCACCTCACGCTTTTGTTTTGCTTTTTTCTAATAAGCACAAGCACACAGACACGAAATGTAAGCAATAATCAAAGTGCAATTTCACTTCTGACGGTGGCTACAAGGGAAGCACGGCACACGACTAATAAAAAGATGAGAAATTACCACGTTTGTGAAGAACGTCGATAACAGCCCCCACCCCCCGCTACCAGATGCACACGCGTGCCCATTAACGGTACACTAGGATGCATCTAAAGGTAATATTCCAGCCTGTGATCCATCCAGTTGTTTGGCACATGCTATTATAGGCCAGCGCTGGTGGCGGATAGGGGCCGGTGGCTCGATCACGCCGGCCCGGTGTGACAACTTGATTTTCTGCTCCCTCCATAGGCTGTGCCGGCGTGACATGATGGGCCTGTTAATTTGGGCATTTCATGGTGTCTGTCAGGGGTGCCGGCAAGGGAAGGGGAGAGCAGTTTAGGGAGGAGGACTGGAGCATGTCC